CCTCTGCAGCACATTGAGCTGGGTCGGAGCAACCCCAGGCTGACAGGCTGACCCCTGGGTTCCACTGCCAGCCAAGGCTGCTCTGACCTGGCTCAATGTGCTGTGCTTTCAGGCTCATGTGTAATTGTGGCACCCAGGAAGCAGTAACTCGGGCTCAATAAGTGCTGCAGGTTATTACTTCAACTTGCACATGTAAACTAGCCCACTAAGGACATGGTTTAGGATCCTATAGCAGCAAAAAGGAGAGTTGTTCATTTTTAGACATTCTGGGAATACAGCCATAAAGCTGGTAAGAGCTGACATGTTTATAAACCTTTTAGAAACATATAGGAGTAGTCTGTCCTTTGTTTTGCTTACAAATGAACTGAGTTGTAAGTTCTCTGATTTGTTAAATGTAAAGAAGTTATGACTGTACTTCACATGCCATAAAACCCAGTAGAATCATAAATTCATAGAAAAATAGGGTTGGAAGGGACCTCAGGAGGTCATCTAGACCAACCCCCTGCTCAAAGCAGGACCACCCCCAACTATATTATCACAGACAAGGCTCTATCTAGCAAGATCTTCAAAACCTCCAAGGATGAAGATTCCACAAAGTCTCTGGGTAGCCTGTTTCAGTGATTTGCTACCCTTCTAAAGAGAAAGGTTTTCCTAATATCTAATCTAGATTTCCCTTGCTGCAACTTGAGACCATTACACTTCGTTCTGTCATCTGCCACCACTGAGAACAGTCTAGCTCCCTCCTCTTTTGAACCACCCTTCAGGTAGTTGAAGGCTGCTATTAAATCCCCTCTCGGTCTTCTCTTCTCCAGACTAAATAAGCCCAGTTCACTCAGTCTCTCCTCACAGGTCATGTGTCCCAGCCCCCTCACCATTTTTGTTGTCCTCCACTAGACTCTTTCCAATTTCTCCACATTCTTTCTGGAGTGGGGGGCCCAAAACTGCACACAATACTCCAGATGTGGCCTTACCAGTGCCGAATAGAGGGGAACAATCACTTCCCTTAAATCTACTGGTAACACTCCTACTAATGCAGCCCAATATGCTGTTAGCCTTCTTCCAACAAGGGCACACTGTTGGCTCATATCCTTCTTATTATCCACTGTAATCCCAAGGTCCTTTTCTGCAGAGCTGCTACTTAACCAGTTAGTCTCCAGCCTGTGCACAGGACTGTTCTATCCTAAGTGCAGGACTTTGCACTTGTCATTATTGAACCTCATGTGATTTCTTTTGGTCCAATCCTCCAGTTTGTCTAGGTCTCTCTGAATCCTAGCCCTACCCTGCAGCATATCTACTACTCCCACCCCCACACCAGCTTGGTGTCACCTGCCAACTTGCTGAGGGTCCACTCTATCCCATTTCATCCCATTGATGAAGATGTTGAACAAATCTAGCCCCAGCACTAACTGCTGGGGCACTCCACTCCATACCAACTGCCAACTAGACATCAAGTCATCGATTCCTACGCTTTGAGCCTGCTGATCCAACTAGTTTTCTATCCACTGTATAGTCCATTCATCCACCCTGTACTTCCATAACTTGCTTGTAAGAATGTTGTAGGAGACCATATCAAAAGCCTTGCTAACGTCAATGGAAGGGAGTTGAAATGAAATGGTGCCTGCTACTTGGAGAGCCGAGACAACCCCTCAGGTGCCGGTTGCTGGGGCAACTAGAGGGAGCCAGTGACCCACACCTGCTAGCAGTCGGCTGACCAGAAGGGGCAGGGCCTGGCTCCCACTTTAAACCCCACGGTGAAGGCCAGGCAGGCAGTTCCCTGCAGGCAACCAAGGGGGAGGGAGCTCTGCCTAAGTGAGGAAAAGGAAGAGGCCTGAATGCCTGAACAATGTGAGAGATGGAGAAACCTTGGAGTGGCTCGAAGTTGTTACAGCCAGATGGCTTAGGTTTATGTTATAGCCAAGGGGCTTGTGTTTTGTTTACTGTTAAACTGGAGGTTTGGGTGAGGCTATTAGGGGTTGGAGGAGGCCTCATAGGGGACCCACGGTGGTGTGGGAACCCCAGCCCCAGAGAGTGGGCAGCGAGAAGCCCCAGAGAGTGGGCCGTGTTTGAGGAGCCCCGGAGAGGGGGCAGAGAGTGGGAAGCCCCAGAGGAGGGGGCAGCGAGCGACGAAAGCCAAAAGGGCAACATTGGGAGTGTGCCAAACCCAAACGCCAGAAAGGACACAGTATAGGGAGAGTGCCGACTCCGAGCATCAGAAGGGCGCAGTACTGTGAGTGTGCCAAACTGGAGCATCAGGAAGGGCATAGTATTGGGAGAGTGCTGACTCCAAGAGCCCAGTAAGGCTGAGCAAGACAAGGTCGCAGAGAACCCAAGTGCCCAATGAGGCGCAGCAAGAGAGACGGCTCCCAGTGAGGCACAGAGAGAGAGAGACAGGGGCTGCAGAGAGCCCAAGTGATATAGAAGTGTCGAGTGAGACTGAAGAACATCCGGTACATCTGCGAGGCTTGGGGCATGGCACAGGGGTGGTTGGAGCCATGCATAGCCCATAAGGCCGGGGTGCATGAAACACCCATTACAGAAATGGGACTAGCAATAGCAGGAGAACTGTGGCCAAGAGGACGAAAGGCAGCCTCCCTTTAATATACATAAGACCAAAGAGGTGGCGGGTGAGATTTGAGGGTGCTTGTAGGCAACTTGGCACGGTGCAGAGGGCAACTAGGGGAGAGCACGGCGACCCTAGGATTCCCCTCCTGTTACAAATGGAAACTTCACAATATGATGAAGAAAGAAGCTAAACTCAACAGCAACATTTATTTTCTAAGCGTATGCAAGAAACACATTATTCCTAGAGGATGAACATCTACAGTCCTCTGACTATTACACAAAACTCCAAATATGCCTCACAACTCTGCAGAAGAACTTCAGAAAAACTTAGAAATCATCTCCTTCACTTAACTTACTCCAGAAGGGATCAACTCAAGAAGGAAATGAACACATGCTATGACAACTTAAAAGAGATAAATCCAGATCTCTTCCCAAACATTATACAACGTATATGAAAAGACTACCAAAGATTTTTTACAACATCCATCCAACATAAAAAAGAAGAAATTGAACCAATTACTACAGGATCAGCTTTCCCAGCCACAAAAGAACCATCAGAGAAACAACAACAGCACCGTACAACATTCCAACCTGATGAAACTGAAGGAACTAGTCAACCCTCAAATATTATCAATATCTCCACACACACACTTACCAAAGTTGAAAAATCTGTCCTCGCTAAAGGCCTTAATTTCTGTCCAGAACAATACCCTAATAAGATATTACAATGGGGAGAACTAGAAGAATTTTTCCAACACCTCTGTCTCCAGGAATATTTCCACAACCAAAACAAACCCACTTTCAACAACACTTCATCCTGTGACAACATCAAGAAAAGGTTTAACACCAAAAAAATCCAAAAAACCAACAGATTGGACACCTCACAATGGACAAGATTCAAACCTCGGCTACTATATTGACTGCTTTAGGGAAAGAATGAACAATGAAATAATCACAACAAACCATAACAACTTCTTCTCAGGGAGAAGGGCCATAGACTCTCTAAGATCCAACCACCAAATAAGAATAAAACCAACAGATAAAGGAGGAGCTAGAGTTATCCTTAACCATGAAGACTAAATAAAAGAAGCCAACAGACAACTCTCTGATACCACCTGCAATGAAAAAACAGAGGAAGATCCAACTCCCTTTTTCACCTTAAAAATTCAAAATCACCATCACATCATTTCCATCTGAACCACAGGAAAAACTAAAAAACTTGATCCCACCACTACCTAATCCAAGGACTTGTTACATGCTCCCTAAAATCTAACAAACAGGGGAACCCAGGAAGACTTATAATATCCAAACCTCACTAAGGAAATATCAGGTTTCCAGTATTGCCAACCCCACCATGTCAAAAATTATGAGATGAACTCTTAAAAAAAATCAAGAGATTTGGCATGTAAATCATGAGATGCTATTTTTGAAGTGTGTGTGATGGG